TAGTTAATTCATGCATCACGAGTTGATATTCGTGCATTGCGAGTCAATTCATGCATCGAGAGTCAATTCATGCATCAATAGTAAATATTCATGCATCACTAGTTAATATTCATGCATCGCGAGTTAATATTCATGAATCACCAATTAATATTCATGCATTGCGAGTTAATATTCATGCATCGCGAATTAATATTCATGCATTGCAAGAAGATTTCATACCTCGCAGAAAATTCATGCATCGCGAGAAGATTTCATACCTCGCAGAAATGTATGCATCGCAAGAAGATTTCATACCTTGCGAAATTTATGCATTGCGGGAAGATATTCATGCCCCACAGAAGATCATGCATCGAGAGAAAATTCATGCATCACTAGTTAATTCATGCATCGAGAGTTAATATTCATGCATCGAGAGTTAATATTCATGCATCGAGAGTTAATTCATGCATCGCTAATTAATATTCATGCATCGCGAGAAGATTTCATACCTCGCAAGAAGATTTCATACCTTGCAGAATTTATGCATTGCGGGAAGATATTTATGCCCCGCAGAAGATCATGCATCGAGAGTCAATTCATGCATCGAGAGTTCATATTCATGCATCGAGAGTCAATTCATGCATCGAGAGTTAATATTCATGCATCGCGAGTTAATTCATGCATCACTAGTTAATATTCATGCATTGCGAGTTAATATTCATGCATCGCAGATTAATATTCATGTGTCGCAAGTTAAATTTTTTATGCATCGCGAGAAGATTCACTTCCTCGCAAAAGTTTACATATCGCAAGAAGATTTCATACCTTGCGGAATTCATGCATCGCGAGAAGATTTCATCCCTCGCAAAATTTTATGCATTGCGAGAAGATTCAATTCCTCGCAAAAGTTTACATATCGCAAGAAGATTTCATACCTTGCGGAATTCATGCATCGCGAGAAGATTTCATCCCTCGCAAAATTTCATGCATCGTGAGAAGATTCAATTCCTCGCAAAAGTTTACATATCACAAGAAGATTTCATACCTTGCGGAATTTATGCATCGCAAGAAGATTTGATCCCTTGCAAAATTTTATGCATTGCGAGAAGATCTCATCCCTCGCAAAATTTTAGACATCGCGAGAAGATTTCATCCCTCGCGAATTAGCGCATCACAGAAAGATATTCATGCCCCGCAAACAATCATGCGCTGTCAGAAAAGGGATCGTGCATCTCAAATGAAATAGTTATCCTTCAACGTCAACTGACATTAAATGTCGAGGAGAGAAATTAAGTGTCGACACGGTGAAAAACACTATCTCCCATTTTAAATTGCATTTTTAAGCTGACGAGTTTTATCTCAGCCTTTGTCAAGAGCATTCGAAAGGATGAATTTCTTCCAAAAAATAAAAATAAAAAAAAATAAAAAGAAAAAAAAGAAAGAAAAAAAAAGTCACTAGTTAATATTCATGCATTGCGAGTTAATATTCATGCATCGCGGATTAATATTCATTCATCGCAAGTTAAATTTTTTATGCATCGCGGGAAGATTCACTTCCTCGCAAAAGTTTACGTATCGCAAGAAGATTTCATACCTTGCAGAATTCATGCATCGCGAGAAGATTTCATCCCTCGCAAAGTTTTATGCATTGCGAGAAGATTCAATTCCTCGCAAAAGTTTACATATCGCAAGAAGATTTCATACCTTGCGAAATTTATGCATCGCGAGAAGATTTCATCCCTCGCAAAAATTTTTATGCATCGCGAGAAGATTCAATTCCTCGCAAAAGCTTACATATCGCAAGAAGATTTCATACCTTGCGGAATTTATGCATCGCGAGAAGATTTCATCCCTCGCAAAAATTTTTGTGCATTGCGAGAAGATTCAATTCCTCGCAAAAGTTTACATATCGCAAGAAGATTTCATACCTTGCGGAATTTATGCATCGCGAGAAGATTTCATCCCTCGCAAAATTTTATGCATCGC